TTCTAATTTGGTTTTTCTATTTTATATATTTATATTTTAGTCCATATATGTATATATATATATATATATATATGTTTTAGGAAAAATAACATATTTAGTTCTTTATATATTAATTATTTTTATTTATGTAATGTATTAATAATTTAGGTTAAATTATATTATTAGTACATAGTTTTAATATTATTTCGAATTAGATTAATTAATTTTGATATTTTATATTTAATTATTACTTATTATTATAAAATTAATTATAATATTAGTATATTTTTATATATTAAGATAACTTTATAATATAGTTTTAATATTAAATATTATAATAGGACTATTAACATTTATATTAAATATTATTTAGTAATTATTCATATTAAGTTATTTGCAAATTTAAATTTTAAAAATAAATTCATAATTTATTGCAAAGACACTAATTAATAAACACTGGTACCAATTTTGGGCGTTATGGGGGTGCTAATCCTTCCCCATACGTAACCGACTCCCGAATTCATTTTTCTGATAAACAGACGCGAGTTGTATTATTTTAATATTATTCTTAGGGATTTTATTAGAATAATATAACATTTTGGTGACCAATCTCACCATATTAAAAGATTGGTGGCGACTCTACAATTTGGTGTTTCTTCTGATTCAAGGAGGATAAACACTCACTTTTTCGATACTAGTTACACCTTTGGGGTGTACTATTTGCACTCTCCGTCTCCAGGCAGAGAAACGTCTCGACAACACCCTTAACTCGCATTCGTACCCGAATACGAGTCAAAGATATCACATAGCTTTACATACATTCTAAAGTTGAAAATCTAGTAAAATTTTGAACTTTTAAAATTTATCCAATTTAACCCTTACAATAAATAATGTAATCACATAAAATCATATTATAAGCATTTAAGCCTCTAAATCAATATCAGTTTCAGGCAACTACTAAATAGTTTTATATTGTTCCATATCATAAGATAAATTGTCTAATTACTGTCTAATTTAAAATATTTATTTACTTTGTCAAAATATATTTTTTATCTAAAACAAAAAATTTAAATTCGTATTTATATCCATAATAACATATCTTAGACTTTTCTTATTCATATGCATGTCATCAAGAAAATTTAAAATACGTGTGAAAATCATCGCACGCTAAATATACAGTTTTATATTGACGCCCACTCAGCTCCTTACTTCACTTGCTCTTCTTTACCTACGTGTGAAAATCATCGCACGCTAAATATACAGTTAGTTAGGCATTATGAACAAACTAAAGTGATATAAATATCAAACATCTTAACAACATCTAAACAACATATTCACTTATATAAAACTTAATAACATCATAACAATTTAAAACATTAACTTAAATTCCAATAAAATCACTAAATATCCAAACCGATTTATTCAAACCATTTTTCCTCATCAAGGACCTGAAAATCATCATTTCCTGATTTTTATGTAAACCATGACAAACAATATCATACATAATAGACATATCAAAGCCATTATAAACAATATCATACATAATAGTCATGTTATATTCTTTTTCATTCATATATAATACAAAACTTTCATATCTCATTTTCATCTTCCAATTTCATATTCAATTTCACATTCCATTTTCATAATATGTACTTTCACATTTCAGAACTCGTTCTCATAATCAGAACTTGTTTTCGGACTCATAACTTATTTCAAATTCATAACTTAATTTTAGATTCATAGCTTATTTTCAAGTTCATAGCCCAATGCATATTTACGAGAATGAAAGGTACATGAGTCATACATAATGTGCACACTAGGCACTTCACGGTACCAATCATCATCATAAGATACACTCTAAGTGCAAAGCATATCATATGCTCCAGCAGTGCCATACGTAATGTACATGAATGTACCATAACTTGACTTAACTTGAACTTTACTCAACTTCTTGGCATGCCAAGTGTACCTATGACTCTCAATGCATTATACAATGGGCTTTTCCATTAATTATTATACGTTATTGAATATCAAAGATATCAATATATCGACATAAATGACTTTTCATATCATAACATAATGGGCAGTTCATACCCTAAACATTTCATTTCCACATAACATTTATATATCATAATCATCATCAATTACCTTTCTTGAACATAAACACATCATATTTGTCATGAAATAAATAATCTTAACTATCATGCCAAATGTAATAAATATACTCATTTCAAACATTTATATAGCATATACCATGGGAGTTACATGAAAACATAATTTATGACAAGTTTCATATGTTGGCAGTTTGCACTACCTTTAAAGAAATATTATTATTATGTATTAATATACACACTTAAAAATTATTTTGTTTATACTACTGGAAACTATACTCAAATAAAAATCTGACCATATAAGGTACTCATTCTAGTTCATATTGTAAAATTTATAGTGAATTTTCAAAGTTGACTTACAGAAGCTATTTTGAGCAGAATCTGCTGCCCTATTTTATGGCCTATCTTCTATTAAAAATTAAAATTTTTTGTATACTTATTGAAATCAGTATACGTTTGTTCTCAACAAAACTAGACTGATATACAAATCCAAAGGCATAAAAATCATCCCCTAATTGTTTCTATAGAATTTATGGTATTTTTTAAACTTAATATTCAGAACATAAATCTTGGAATATTTCACAAACTTATATTTTCAGTTTATTCACTAATTCTATTAGCATACCAAATGAACATATATGCATGAATCACAAAATTTCATAACATTTAGGATTCACTTCTTACCATGCTAACTCCGTCACTGGCTCATCGCAAGCCAATGTTTACACGATATCATAAATACAAATTAAACATGCGCTCACCTGGAGTCCTTAGCTTGCAACTTTCCTTAGAAATTCACATTTCAACCTTAAGCTCTACTTAGCTTTAACATTGTTTGATCTTGATTTCAAGCACACAATCTAAATGAATATCATTTACAGAACATGTACATTTCAAACCACATGTTAAAATCTCACTAACATAAACACACAATAGAATAAATTCCTAAAAATCTTTCGATGTTTATTCAATACTAATTCCATGTCACAACATAAATATTGACTTTGACACTTCAAGTTGTCCATTCAAGTTCCTTTGTATCCAAATTCACCCAAATTTCATATAACCTTTTTCATCTTTCCATTTTAACTACTATTTATGAATTCTTTTAGAATTCATCTCAACTTTTCTATTTTATTCTAAATAGTCTTTTTCCCTTTTACTTCAATTCAAGTCTCAAACAATTTAATTAAATTTTCAGCATCTAATTTCCAGCCCAATGCCTCAAAAATTTCATTATTATCACTTAAGTCACTAACTTTCTCAATATTTGCCATTTATTACTCAAACTTTAATAACTTCCCAAAATAGTCACATCTCACATTCTAACTCCAAATTCATCACTCTAACATTAATTTCCAGCATAGTATTTCATGTATTTAAAAATTACACATCAACCCTTAACTTTTCAAAACTATCAAATAGGTCCCCCTAACTTTCTTAAAATCACAAATTGGTCCAAATAACTTTCTAAAGCTTGTTTGTAGGATATTTCTTACATCATTTCTAACCCTTGTATATTTTTCCATAATTTTTCTCACTTCCAAAAGCTTAGGTCGAATGTTAAGGGCGTAGGGTTTCATGATTTCAATTTGATTCGAGCATGAAATCAACCTCTATTCAACATTTTAAAACCTCTACAATCAAACCCCTAACTTAATTTCATAAAATTACAAACTTCCTAATTTAGAGTTTTGATCGTCAAACAAGCTTGGAAATGATTCTACAGCCTCAACAATCTCAAAATCCATTATCAATTCATAAAACCCTAACATTAACATAAGCCTTAAATTTTGGGAACTTAACATTCAAGCAAGATTAGCATGCAATAATGGTGCCAAATGATAGAGCTCTTCGAATAAAATAATTTTCTATTTCATAGTTTGATCCAAAATACAAAGGAAATTGCTCAAAAATGAAAAATAAATTTTCTCTCACCTAGGATATGAGTATAATGAAATGGAGGTTGAAGAAGGTCTTATTTTGAAGAAATTTATAATTAATTTCATGTTAATTTGTCATTTATTAAGTTTAAATGAATTTAAAATTCATTTAATTAGGAAATGAAAATTTTACCATTAATGAAACTTGATAATTACATCCATTCCAAGCCTCATGTTGGTTATCATCTGCCAAAGTCAAAGATGAACAAAATATTATATCCTTGACAACTTTATCAATGCAAGTTTCCAAGAATTTCAATCGTCATTTTCATCCAACGGTATAAATTGAATATGTAAATAAATTCTCAAATCCAATGGTCCATATTATTTTTCATCATTTTAAAATGTGGAAATAATATCTCTAAGCTTAATTTAATATCTTTCAAATTTTCTCAAAATTTTTGTTCGATCCGATTTACTGAATTTTACCAAACTTTAACACTTTACAGCTTTTAACATAAATTCTGGATCAAAAATATGATTCCCACCTAAACATCATTCTTAGGTTGAACTATTTATTTATGGGTTAAAACACCTAAATTTTGAAAATTAAACTTTTAGTCCCTAAACTTTTGAAAATTACCTTTTTGGTCCCTAAACTTTTTCAAACTTTATACTTTAGCCACTAAACTTTAAAATTTACATTTTGGTCACTAATCAAAATTTTGGGTGTTACAGTAAAACTTTCCGTCAGCGAGAGGGATGGTACCAGAAATGAATTTTTCATCAACATGAGCATCTTGGTAAAGGGTAACCCTGGAGCCTTGTCTTTGACCAAAGAATGTATAAGGGACCCTTGAAACTTAGGACTTTTAATCCCCAGAGACCAATTAAGGTGCCAAGTTCTATCGAAAAACCACAATTTGACATGGATGTTGGACCCTTTAAAAACATGTTTACTGTTTTTATCTAAAATCTTTAGCCATTTTTCTACTTCTTCGTTTAGCAGTTGTTCAGTAGGCAAGTAAGCTCTTCCAATAAGGAATTCCCCTATGGGCACATCTTGTTTGATAGAAAAAACAACATTCGAAACCGAATGAGCACGATATATGTGAAATGACTCAAGTCATTGTGGATTAGAACATTCATTTTCTAACAGCCTGGTTCTTCCAACTCTGGTTTCTTCTAAATCAATGGTGACATACAATTTGGAAATTCCTCTCCCAATTCCTGAATTTTCTTCAATGTTTTGCAGTAGCTGCAATTAAAAAAAACACACCAGTTTATTTCACTTAACATGAAAACTTGAACTGCAAGTTAATTGTTATTGACAACAACAAATAAATACCAGTGTTTGCTTGTCTTTCAAGAAACAAGTAAGATTTTGATAAGACCAATGTGGATTGTTCATTATCCTATACAGTACTTAAGAGAATACGGTGAACTAAAGTAATGGTCTGATGATACTTGGAGTACAGGCAATCTTTTTTCTTTTCTCATGTGTAGTTGCTAGATACACTAGGAGGAGTTGCAGAGGAATCTTTGAGTTGAAGAAGGAAGGCATAATTGCTCTTGCTAGGTTAGTGCTGGTTTGGTGGCTGATCACAAAGTGAAATTACTCTACAATAAGTGAAATCATTCTCTATTAGAATTTGACCCGAATTCGATCAAATTCAAATTTATTGAGATAAATAGGAAACCTAGTTCAATTGAAAGTAGGAAATCTATTTTCTTTAGTACTAAACAAGTTTCGTTTGTAATAAAGTGTTTATCCATATAAATAAATACTAGAGATTATGGTTAGACGTCTAATTGTTCATGGGGATTCTTCTGGTATTCTTCTACTTTTGACATTAATAAAAATTCTCTTCTACCCGTGTTTTCTTTTTTGAAAAGATTTTTCACATAAAATTTTAGTGTCTATTTTATTGTATGGTCATTTTGCTTGTCATTATCTTCTAACATTCTCTAATGATCTGCAATATTAGATATGAGAAACCTATGTTACTCTCTCTCTCTTAATTTTTAGAAATATCCGTGTTTGATACATACAAAGACACATAGGAACCTCTAAATATCCGAAAACATTTGAAACGAAATATATGTGTTGGATACGAATGCTTCAAGAAAAATGAAAAAATAGAGAAGACAGCCTAAAAACATTAAACAAATAAATCAAAAAGGAGTGTGTGTGTGCACATATATACCTTGCAGAAAACATTGCAGCAACCATATCCATAGATCCTATAGATTTCATAAACGGTGACATGAAGTGTCCCATGGAGCAGTAGGCGTACCATGTTTGATCCTATTGCCTATAAAAATCAACACAACTTAATGACTTATTTATAGCAATCAAGCTTGGGAAGAGATGGTATGAACAAAAACACAGAATCGATTAATAAATTCAAGACAGTATTGGTTCGTACAATTTGGTTAAATATTTGCTTAAATTATTTTATATTATAAGCCGTTCAAGCGTGCAGAATGTAAGTTGAACAAAAAAGTTTAAAATATTTTGGCTACAATGCTTTAGCAGGTAAACTTAATTCGTTTGGAATCTAGTCACTGTTATGCCAGAAAGTTGTTCTTTTTTATTGCATTTGCTTGACAATGTTACCACTAGTTTTTTCTTCACTCAATTTATTGATTAGTGTAAAAAATTAGGGTAAACTACTCAATTGACCACTTAACTATAGGGTTAGTGTCGATATGACCATCATCAGTTTTGATAATATGATCACATAGCTATTGAATTGGTTTCAATGTAGTCATTAGCCGTTAAAAACAAACGATGTAGCTAATGTGGTTGTTATTGATTAACGGCAAGTCAGAGGTCCACATCAACTACACCATTTGTTTTTAAAGGCAAGTGATTACATTGAAACAGTTTAAATAGTTATATGATCATATTGTTAAAATTAAAAATATAGTGGCCATATCGACATCAACTCCATAGTTAAGTGGTCCATTGAGTAGTTTACCCTAAACATTACTGGGTCTGCACAACACAATTGAGAGGTTCTATAAGCAAGAAGGTTGTCATAAAGTAACCAAACAAAAGCATATATTATAAATGTTAACTAAATATACTTAAAATATTACTAAAGATACTTAATTTTTTACAATATTTGTAATATGTTAGATATATACCTAATGTGTTATGATTTTATGTATATACAAAAAAAAATCAAAACATATTTAACATTATTGATAAGATAATATCATGACATTTCAATTAATCAATCTCTTAATAGAGAGTTAAATCAAAGCATAACTAAAAATTCACATATTTAAACAAATAAATATATAAAATATACCAGTCCTTTTAAATTAAGATGAATAGATAATGGACGTAGTCACGAAGATTAGATAAGATTAAATTCTTTGTCAGAATCACTAACCGAGAACTAAAATAATTGAACAAGATCATACTGATAAAATGTGAAGGATTGTGAGAGATTAAAGGTAAAAGGTTTTCACAAGGAGAAAAGGGCCATTTCATTTGGGTATTGGTGCCATAATAACAATGTTGAAAGGTATTGATGGGTTGATTTTAGGACCACATTGTAGAGGTATTTAGCTACCAGTCTAACTTTTTTGAACACTCAAGCACGAGCATGTCCTATGCCAACCAGATTCTTTCAATGGCTACACATTAAATGTCTTGCATGTGGGTTTCGCTTTCCTTTCCATGCCGTATGGGATTCTTAATACGTAGTTTGCATGTATTTTCGTTGCATGCCATTTACGTATATGACTACATACAATCTACGTACGTATATTAGTTTAGTTTTTATGTTTTCTTTATCATTTTATACGATATTTTTTTATTACTCCATTAAAAATCGAGTCATAACATGTTGATTTCGGGTAAAACTTTTAAATTTTACATCTTTTTAGGATCGTTGGTTGAGGAAAAATAGACGATTGAGATTAACAGTAAAAAATGAGAAGATATTTAAAGGGGGAAAAAGATATGATTGGATGATTTCCCATTAACAGGGAGACTTGAAAATGTTCCTTTTGCCTTCCAAAGGAAATGCAGTGAAAGACATTGTGGAATAGCATTCATGCTATTTGGACATTGTACATTGTGGTAATTAGTACCTATGCATTGTACCTTTTTGTTTCTGGTACTTTTCTTCCTTATTAAATGAGTAAACTTTATGGAACAAGAGCTTTCACTTCACCTTTCATAACCCAGAAAAAGCTGAGAAAAAATATCCCTTGAATGTAACAGAACCTTGTACATATCTCACTAACTTGGTTATAGAAGGAAGTAATCAAAGTTAAAGCACATGAATCTCACTGGACCGAACTATTTGATTCGATAATTGGTAAAAGCATAGGGCACCGATCGCCCCAAAAAAAAAGGGGGGCAAAAAGGACCACAGGGGTTGCACTTGCACATGCAAAATATATGCAAAGTTCGGATTTTATTTGGGAGGCCATGGAGTTTTGAGTTTCTTGGCCTACGGAAGCTGATATCTTTGCCTCTATTCTTTGACATATCACCATCTAGGTTCATTGTTTTCTTCGTTATTAATGTTGTGTAGTTTGGTAATGCCAAAGAGTGTACAACATGTAATCCCACACTGACAAAAGAAGTCTTTCTAGATAGGTTTATAACAAGTCTTTCCCTTTTCTATTCACTGAATGCAGAGTAACAAAGACTATAATTATCTTTTTAAAACATAAATTCTTTAATCAGTCTTTGATTATAATTTATAGGTGGGGTGAACATAAATAAAATCTTAAAGTGGATGTGATTATTTTTTAAATAAAAAAATGATATTTTAAAAGTGTGACTATTGGGGTAATATTTTTTAAAGAAGAATGAGAGTTGGGATCTTGGGTGACAACCTTCTTTCTTTATCTTGATTGAGAAGTTTTATAGTGACTTTTAATTTTAAAATCAGACGTGGAATTATTATGACTATTTGCAAGTTGATAGGTCTGATTAATGTGATCGTATGTCAATTGATTTTAACTCAAATATATTAATTACATGGTGTCCGTCAAAAAAACATGTCAAAAGATCACAACTTTTTAAGAGATGTAAAGGCCTTGTATCTAGAGATATCCTTATGTCCAAATATGTTCTCTCGAGATTTTAACTATAAAAGAGTTCTTTGGATATCTTCATATGCGGTATGGAGATCAGATAAGATTTAGATGGGAGTATAACAAACGTACGGGCACGAGAACTTGGACTTGCCACGTTCAGTTAGATCCTCAAAAATACACTATAGGTTGAAATGTCCTTAAAACAATATTTGATGCATAACTTAAATTATTGTACTTCTAGTTAGATTCCTTCTATTTGGTGCAATAATTTTCAACGTACCAATGAATAGGGAGGGGTACAACCAAAAAGAAGGGAAGAAAGCCACACCTGTAGTTGCTGATTCAACTGAGAAAAAAAATAATAAGGGTGAATGGACAGATCAGTGAGGTTCAAAATGTATCTATCGACTTGCCAATTCGAACCAATAGAGTCCAAAGATCATAAATTATGCCCCACTGCTAGGTGAGTTCCGAGTGAGTGTAGTCTGTTTCTGATCTTAAAAGAGACATTACCAAGTCATTACTGCTTACATTTTCAGTGCATTGCATGTTTTTATTGCTCTAACATCTTCCAATCAGCTCATCGGCCTCCATGCCCTACATCAATAGTTCCTCCATGTGAGATTCATAAACTTCCCTTTAAAAGGCCAGACAATGTTATTTACTTCCTATAATAACGTTTCCCGACACATTATTAATATGCATTAATTTTAGTAATCAAAGTTAGGAGTTGTTATACCTCCTTCGGACTTACTACACGTATAACTCTTATCGTGATCGAAGTCTTTGAAATAAGAAGAGATCTTCGAAGGATTCCCTCTATTGATCATAGATCTCGGATGTCACATCCTCCGATTATTTATTTTTTCTTGACAAGGTATCTGGCATGTCCAAATGTTTTGTAAGAGCTAAATCTCTTGTGAAACAATCATATTTATTCAACACCTTAGCTTATTGGTAGCAATTATGACCCTAAACTTGACACCAATACTAAGAATCTATAATAAACTCTCACGCTAGAATAAGAGGCTCTCTCTTCTTCTTAAGACTTTTTTCAACTACCATTAATCAGACATCATTAATTGTTTGTAACTCCACTGTAATCCACAAGCGGTGACTTTTTATCCAAATAAAAAGTTGGTAAAGTACACAAATGATCTCCCGATTATAAGATCTACTTTGTTGAGTCTCCGATTAATGAAAGCTACTAAATAGTCTCTCGACTATAAAATGTTGTTTTGTTGAGTCCTTCAACTATAAAAAGTTACAAAATGGTGACCCGACTATTTATATATTTCAAACTCGTCATTTTTGTTGAAAATGGATAACAAACTAAGTTGGACGTTAACTTGTTGAACGGGATATGATAATCATTTGAGATTTTATGATCATGTTTTATCATATTACAGTCAACAAGATAACGTCTAGCTCAGACTGTCATTAATTTTTTTAACAGAAATGACATGTTTGAAATATATGAATAATCAAATGATCATTTTATAACTTTTAAAAGTATGAGACTCAATAAAACAATATTTTATTATCAAGATACCATTTTATAATTTTCAATAGTCGAATGACTCAATAGAACATCACCGTATATTCAAGAGACCATTTACGTATTTTTACTCATAAAAATGAACTATATTTAACCGTCATAACCCAAATATTACTATAACATATGCAATAATCACCAGTGGCATAAATTAATGAACGAAAGAAAGTTGCTATCAATGTCATTTTTTCACATTATTTTCAATCACATGGAAAGTATATATAGGATGAGAAGCAATTGTGGTGACTGAATAGTATTGCGCTATAGGTAAGACCCATGTCATTAATTTGGTAGGCTCTCTTAGGCGACGAATGATATATACGAGAGTTTTACAATTCGCCGACAACCCATCTTTTCAGCTTAACTTACCACTCAGTATATTCCTTCATATAGCAGATATCTCTTACCTCTCCCTCTCTCTCATGTACTTTTCATTAATCAATAATTCTCTCCTCCTCTGCTTCTTCTTCTTCTTCATCTTTAAGCCTCATCTGTCTGTACACTTTTCAGTTCCATTCATCTAAACATGGTGCCATCCAAGAAGTTCCGAGGCGTCAGGCAGCGCCACTGGGGCTCCTGGGTGTCCGAAATTCGCCACCCTTTATTGTAAGTCTCGTTTAACCAATAACAACGCGCGCACGTTTGTTCGAACTCAGAATCTGTTTGTGATTATTGCAGGAAGAAGAGGGTGTGGCTAGGGACATTCGAAACAGCCGAAGAAGCAGCTCGAGCATACGATCAAGCAGCCATCTTAATGAGCGGAAGGAATGCGAAGACCAACTTCCCGGTAACCCCAAAAGGCGCGGAAAACGCCCATTCGACGCCACCCAATGAGCTATCTGAGCTCCTACATGCAAAGCTCAGAAAATGCAGCAAAACACCATCTCCTTCCATGACTTGCCTGAGGCTCGACACAGAGAAGTTCCACATCGGAGTGTGGCAAAAGAGGGCAGGCCAGACGGATTCCAATTGGGTGATGACTGTTGAGCTTGGAAAAGGAAATGCTGTGGCTCCACCCAATAAATTGCCTTCCAATACCTCTGGGGATGAACCCAGAATTACAGACATGGATGAAGAAGAGAGAGTTGCACTGCAAATGATCGAAGAACTGCTCAACAGGAACTGTTGTTCGTTTGATGCGGAAGAAGGAGAGGGTAACTCGTTGCAGTAATTTTTATTTCTCTTACTTTTCACTTGCTTTGGTTTGAAAAGTCGTATAGTGTGTGTTGTATAGGATATTATATATATATAATATATATATCATGGCTTTCGTTGGTGCATATATAAATATATATTATGTAATCTTTGCATAATGGTGAAGGATACCATAATTTTTAAATTGTGTAAAATTCAATAATTTTACATAAATATCATGTAATCTTCGCATAAAATTAGTTACTATGCCGTATTTGTTCAAAATTTTCTTAATTTATTAGTAACACGCGTAGCTTATAGACACACTTACTTGAACTCAATACTTATACAGAGAATAATATTATTTGATGGGTTTATAGTTTTGTGATTTAAATATAAATTTATTGAATCAATCAAATTAAAATTTTATTTATAAAATTAATAAAGATACAAAATTAATTTCCCGTGTATATAAAACATTTACAATAGTTAGATAAAACAAACTTAAAAAGGGATTGTAATAAGACGAAGACTTCAAATTCATTATCGTCCACAGTTATCATGTTTTCTTTTGTCTCCCTATTTGTCTTATTATAAATTTATAATTTTGAAGTTTGATTACGTGGTGGATCTAGAAATTTAAAAATATGATCTAAAGTTTAATTTTTTTCTAAAAATAATGGATATACAAAAAATTAATTTTTATTCTTTTGTCCTTAACACATTAAACTAAATTTAACTATTTATCTAAAATAATGGGGATGCACCTAACCCGTCCTTAGTGCATCAGCTACTGGACTTGAAGTGTTATCTTTGTGGAGGTAAGATTTATTATTAGAAATTTATAAATGATAAAAATAAATAATATAAGATTAATATAAAATAAAATATATTTAAGAGATGAGACTTAATATGGATTAGTCTTGTCTGTTGCGAAAAAAATCTTAGATTGTATAAGAATCATTCAACTTGATCTAATTTGTATATGTTTCTTTCAGACACAATCCTACTTATAAAATATATTTCAAATTTTACCATTAATTGCCGTTATAAAACATTAAAAGTATTTAATGATTATTAAAATAATATTTATGATAATTAATTATTTTTGTAATCGTTATTGATTTTTTATCATTTACCTTTAATTTGAGCCTATATATAAAAGTTGATTTTTATTTTTAAAATAAATAATAATAAGATCAATTAATTCTCTCTTATTTTCTCTTTATCCCTTATGAAAAATGTATTTATTTTTTCGAATTATTATTTTCCAGTCGTCGAATTATAATTGGAAAAGATATTTTCGATCTCAATTTCATCTTTCTAAGAAGAGTAGTATCAATTCATTTTCACTCTAATATTTAAGTGTACGAATATTGAAGAGTTGTATTAATCTTGGGGCTGACGTCCATTTCACAATTACACCAGTTAGAAGCGTTTTGCTTTGAAGATAGTGATTCTTCTACGACATAACAATGGTTTAATCTATTTATGCTTGATTTATTTTTCGGTTAGTGCTAATGTTTATTTTGTAGCAGTTCTATTTTTTCTAACATTGTCTACTTCTAGGAATGATAAAAAAAATAATATACTACAAACATTAAAATCATGAAATATATAAATACATGAAATTTCTCATAGATGCAAAATACATAGAATTAATAGTTTTAGAGACGCCAATACCCAACGTACATATAAAATACATCTGTGTAATATAGGCCCTAATAAGTTTAGAGATCACAAAAATTAAAATCATTATATCTCTTGAAAATAATTTTTTTTTTAATTATTACGTAATATTTGTTAAAGCGCGACTAGACTGATTTAAAAATGCATCCCCTAAAACTAATATTAACTTAATTGAATACTTACATTATGTAAAATTAATAAGTTTTACATTAATTTAGCTATTAAGGTTAAACAAATACATGGTTAGTGTACCAAAAAAACAAATACATGATTTAGATTTAGTTAAAATTTATAACTCATAAATAAATATTTTTTAACTTACCGTAAAATCATAATTTCCTTTTTAAGGTTAGGGTTTAGGATTCAATGTTTAAGTTTTAAGGTTTGGGATTTAGGGTTTGGAGTTTGGGGTTTGGGGTTTAGGGTTTAGGGTTTAGGGTTTAGAGTTTAAGTTTGAAGTTTAGGGTAGGGGTTCTAGGGTTTGGGATTTTGGGTTTAAGACTTGGGATTGAGGTAAAAAGTGATATTGTTTTACTGTGAGTTAAAAATATTTATTTATGAGTTATAAATTTTAATTAAATCTAAGTTGTTTATTTATTTAAATCTATTGGCTATAAATTAGTGTAAAATAATAAGTTTTACATCAATTTAGGGTTTAAGATTTATGATTTGGGTTTGGCATTTAGGACTTATGGTTTAAGATTTAGGGTATGGGGTCTAAAGTGGGGGTTTTAGGGTTTGGGATTTAGGAATTTAGGCTTTAAGATTTGGAATTGAGGTAAACAAATATATTGTTTTACTGTGAGTTAAAATATATTTATTTATAAGTTATAAATTTTAATTAAATCTAAGACATTTATTCATTTATATCTCATCGCTATAAATTAGTGTAAAACTTATTAGTTTTACATAATGAAAGTGGATCATACCCTATATATATAGGTTATGATCCACTTACAAAGTTTTACACCCTTTTAGGATCATTGGATAAGGAGAAATCAAAGGATTGAGATTAACTCATTGCTTTTTTTCCATCGAATATCTTTTTATTTCTTATTGTTAATAGCCTTTGAGTTTTTGTCATTCAATAATCATAAAAGGTGTAGAGTTTTTACACTACATAATTGGATCCTAGCACTATATATATATGGGTTAGGATCCACATACAGCTAGTGTAAAACTTTAGTTTTACACCCTTTTAGAATCGTTGGATGAGGAAAAATCAAAAGCTGAGATTAATTCATTTTTTTCCAATGAATATCTTTTTGTTTTCTACTGTTAAACTCAACATTTGATTTCCCCTCATCCAACGATCCTAAAAAGGTGTAAAACTTTTTCGTTTTATATTATGTAACTAGATCCTAGCCATAAATAAATAAATAAATATATATATATATATATATATATATATATATATATATATTCTTCCAGTGATGTTGAGATTTGGATTGAATAACGAAGGATTAAATTGAATCAAATCAATGTTTTTTATATACATTTGAAATATCTTTTTCATTAACTTAACATTTTTCATTGATTTTTAAAGAAAAAGATGTGAATGAATAGATAGATATATAACCAATAACAATTAGGCAGCAGCAAAAATAATTAAATGTCAGGTGGTTTAGATTGTAGCTGTTCCATTAATAAAGCTTGATGTCTAAATCTTAATTAATTCCAAGATTTGATTAATCGATGTCAATGTAACAGAACACAGAGGAAGGTCTTGCCGGATTGTTTAATGAATGAAACATTCGTGATTAACATGTAAGAAAGCAATAGCTTTGATGGGTGATCCATCATTAAGGGCACATCCTTCAACTGTAAACTGAAAATTGTGTTTAGTCTTTATGTTCTTCCCCTTTGTCTTTGACAATTATTTATTCCTTGACATCTATGATTGATAGATCCAATAAGAAATTATATTTAAGTATGTATATCATACTATATATTAAGTCGGCCCATAATTGAATTGGTATTACGAGTGAATTAGATATTGACATTAATTGAGTAAATGCATACGGTCGATTGATCCGATTGTTATTTTTATTATTTTATATTGCTTTATGTTATGAGTTTTAGAGAGTGACGGATCCAAACATTTAAAATTAGGAGTCCAAAAATTTTAATATTATTTTTTTCATCAAAATTAGTATGCAAATTTTCTTTCTTTCTTTTTCTCCTTCTATTAATACATTAAATTATATTTAATAATTTATTCAAAATAACAAGTATGCACTTGGCCCCTAAAAGTCTAAGTTTATCTGCCCCTGATTCTAGACTTATTAGGACCCTCTATTCTAAGAATAATCAATATTAGATTTAGAATTTATAAAAAGAAATACCAACATTAATTAGTTCGGTTGGTCAAAAAAAATATTTTTAATCATCAAATATTATTGTGATGGTATTTTTATAAGAATCAATAAACAAGTAATTTACTCATACATTGGGTGCAATATGATCAAATATTTTTTTATAATTGGAGGTGGAGACGAGGTTGAACCTTGAATAAGAGTGTCAATGTCACTTAACCACTTAAAATAGTGAGACTATGGAAGACATAATCTAATAATATATTTAAAAGATTGATTGAATTGATATCATAAATTAATTAAATATCTTCTTAATCTAGAATTCACTTATAAACCTTATAACAAGTTATATAAATTTAAGGATATTTAATTGTTTTATATTATGACTCATTAAATGATCTCAGTAGTTGCAGAAAATATTATTTCTTTAAAAGACGCGTATTCAAACAATTGTATCTACATTATTTGTATCGTCAATAACTAAGAAAAAAAATTAACATATAATTTTTATAATAACCAAATTATTTGATAAAAAGTGTTGTATATTAAAATTACCCCTAATCATATTTTACTTTTAAACTATTTTCATTATGATTTTCTTATCAACCGCCCATACGAGTGTCATGTTATATATGTTGATTTCATTTCAACCGTACACATAAATGTGGGTAAAATACATAAATGATCATTGAATTATGTTGAAATGAATTTTTTACAATTAAAATTTTAAAATGGTAAAATAATCACTAAATTTTCAAACGATTGTAGAGTAATCACTAAATTTCATTAAACTACTATGAAATGATCATTCAACTTATAAAACTGTTATAAAATGATCCTTTAGTTTATCGAAATTCAACGTATGTAGGATTAATATATATTTTTGGGTAAACTGGAAGAGAAGCTTCACATCAAGACTATAAATGTGTATCACATCATGAGTGATCATGATGTTTTCATGACACATGCAACCAACCATTACCTATAGAAGAATCTGGTAGCTCCTACCAAGAGCCTATAAATAAATATATTACTTTCATAATTACAATTTTCATAAAAGGAATTATTAATTAATCATTATTTCAAGAAAATAA